AGAAAGAAAGAAAGAAAGAAAGAAAGAAAGAAAGAAAGAAAGAAAGAAAGAAAGAAAGAAAGAAAGAAAGAAAGAAAGAAAGAAAGAAAGAAAGAGAAAGAAAAGACATGAGAAAACACTGGTGTTCCATTTAAGCCGGCAGTAGCAGTGAATGAGGGCGCACCCACACCTCCAGCACGGCTCTCCCCGGGCGGCTCCTGCAAGAACAGCGATGGTAGGCGCCTTCCCTTCGACGGGGCGACAGCGGGCCGGGACCGCGGGACCCGGCGGACAGGGCCCGGGCCGGGGCGGTGTTGGAGGGGCTACACGGGGCTCGGAGGGGCGGAGGGAGTCTCCCTCTCGCTGTCGGGGGCCGGGGCTATCGACCGGGCGCGGCCCGAGCGGGGTGTGACGGGGCTGGGTGTGGAGCCGGGCGGCGGGGCTCCCCCGGGGCCGGCCGCTGCTCCCCCTCGCCCGGCTTGGCGGTGAGGTGGCTCTGAGCTGCGGCAGGGATGCTCGGGGGACACGCCGCTGGTAGGAGGTGGCTCCTGAGGTGATTTCAGTGCCGCAAACGGGTCCCCGATCTCTGCATTTCGCACCTGTGTGAGCTCTGGTCCGAACAAGCCGCCTTGTGGGGAGCACAGAAGCTCCTCTGGCGCTAGCCTCTGCAGGACAAGGGTCGCCTTAGGTTGAAGTCACTATTGGCTTCAGCCTCCATCTTCAGGACTGGATTTCTCGTGTGTCTGGTACCGGGCACCATCAGGACCGGTACAGCGCTGCTGTAATTGGTCTCGTTCGTGCTGTCTCACTGCTTCCAGGGACTGGAGAGCGGGGGGATGTTCAGTGACAGATCTCACCCTCTCCACTGCCTTAGCCTCACTGCGGGAGGTGGACCTGGTGAAGGCTAAAGTGTGGAGGGGAGTAGGGAGACATCTGGTATCGTCGGATGCTTTTAAAATAAGTGCTGGAGCCAAAGAGGGTGTTTCACAGCTCCTAACCAGATAGCCTTTACCAGCTCTAGTTAAAGAGTCTGTCCTTGTTTCAGCAACAGTCTCATAGGTGTATCTAGTTTCTGGTTACAACTACTGGGGGCATTGTGTGTCTGACATGACATTGTATCTGGACAGCAGGTAGTGCTGTTTAGAAGTATTAGGGCTGAGGAGGGAGGGGAGGAGAAGGAATCTTTTCAAATCTACTTGATTTTAAGAGCCTGTAGATATAAAACTGGCAGCCCATTCTGAATTAAAACATCTTAGGCTTCTCTGCTTTTATCCTTATATCTCACACACATGCACACACATGCACACACTCACACACGCACCTTTTATTTTGTTCTGGCTTTGCCACAGTGTATAAAGCCCTATTGAGACATGTAGGCGTGATGTGTAAACCGGATTAGCAGTATGAAAGAAAGACATACAATGAGCCTGAATTGTTTTACTTCCTTTTAATTTCTCACGCCTATATCTCTAATAAATTTGTTGCTCCAGCAATGGGTCAAAGAGATTGTGCCGTTCAGCTTTTTTTTTTTCTTCAAGGCCCGATGGCAAAGATCATGGAAGTGAATGCTCTGCCTTCTGGCACATGCAAAACTTGAGCTCTATCTTAACACAGACCTGGTGTTGTCCAGGCTGGCTAAAAAAGGTTCAGCGTAACTTTCCCCTCTCAATGCACATTAATGTCCCGCAAGTGGCGGGGCATTTTGCCAGGAAAAGAATCTGATTTCAAGACTACTTGGGTTTATAGAGGTAAAGCCCCTTGTAGAATATGGCAAGGACTGCTAGGGCTGGGATGTCCTCGTGGTTTTGGACAGAGCGGGCTGTTCTTCCATCCCCTGTCTTCCGCACGCAGCTCCCTGTGTTTGTGCTCTTGTCCTCCTCTGGGAGTCCGCTGCTGTGCGGGAGGAGCCCAAAAGCCTCGGAGACTCCTCTGGAGGCACATTTCCCCGCAGCCCTCTGCAGAAGAAAATGCCAGCGCTCCTGGGTTGGTGCTGTAGATCCCTCATTTGCTCCTTTGTGGCGTGCAGAGCAGCTTTCCATTAAAGGAGATCAGGGGTAATTAGCCGCATTATTTTGACAAGTTGGCTCGAGCAGTTCCCTTTCTTCCAGGGCTGAGGAGGGGGAGAAGCCGCCCGCCTCCTTCCCCGGGCGCGGGCGCTGAGCGGCGGCGCTGCCCCGCGGAGCGGCTCCCCGCTGCGGCCGCCGCCCTTCGACGGCAACCCCCGCCGGCCCGGTGGCCAGCACGGCACTCGAGTGGAAAAGGAAAGGGAGGCTCAGGCTGCCCCGCAGAACCGGAGACTGTGATCTTATGTCATAGCCAGAATCAGGTGCGCGGGCGGAGCACAGGGCCGAGGCAGACCCGTGCACTTGCGCGATGCAAACCTGTGTGAGAGACAGAAATTTGAGGGAATAGAGAAAATCTGATTATTTTCCCACAAGTCGGTCTTCTCCCAGGGTTAATACTCTTGTAAACTGTACAAATGGAACCCAAAGTGGCTGTGCTTCATTCCTGTCTTTCCTTTATTAGGGTAATCAGGTGCTCCAGCAGTGCAAATGCGTTTGGTGGGTGTCTACCGGTGAAGAGCAACCTGGAAAAAATATTAAAGTAACAAGTAACATCACTGTAAATATCTGCTACCCATTGTTAATCTCTATTGGATTGATCCTCTACCTGGCTGGAGAAGTGCTCCACAGTATCAGGGGTTATGGACACAAAGGGAATGTATGTAAGAAGCAGAGCATTACAAAAGTAAGCCACTACGACTAAATCAAGGCTGAAATTCTTGTACACCAGCCTGGGCTGTCTAGGCATCGAAAGGAAGAGGTATGAATGGTTGTAGATTGCAGCCTCTCTACATAATGAGACTTCTTAGGCCTTCAGCACATAGCACGTCCTAGATAAGAAAACTGGGAGATCCCTTCGAGTTGCTGATGATGGAGATAGCCTTTGGTGTGGAGGAGCGGTTGCACACTCAGAGCATGCATATAACAGTCAGCAGTGCTTACAAATGTAAATAAGGGCAGATTGATTAAGAACAACATTATTGCCAGGAATGTAGCAAGCAGGCATCAGCTATGAGGCAGACTGGGGGCAGCCACTGCTCTGACCACCCAAGTGGAGACTTTTACATTGACATTTCTTCCTTGAGGGGAAAAAACCCCAACATACATACACACACCCATCCCTGAAACAAGACCAATTAGATCTCTGAAGTAATTAATCTCTTGTGCATGCTTAAAAAAAAAATAAAAAAAAATCCTTCCAGACCACAGGCAGAGAGGGGAGATTAAGACAATGCTTGTTAAATTTGAGTCTTCAGATAGAGTTTTGGAACCAGCAGTGAGAATGGGCTTTAGGCTACTGTGTGAAGACTAGCAGGCAGGAGGCACGAAGGACAGTGCAGGGGATTCCAGGTTCTTGAAAGGACACTCTTCCCTGGTTTTCGAGCCTAGCAGGAGGCTGAACCAAAATGTTTCTGTGCCCATCCCTTCTTTCTCCATTCCCCTGCCCTGCTACCCGATCAGACACGGTGAGGTTGAGCACTTGCAGAAGTGCTGTCACATCACTTCCTAGCTACATGGATGGTCACTCTCCCAAGTGGAAACTTGAATTGGAGGTGGCCGACTGCACTCCAGATACAGGTTTCAGCCTCAAACAGAAAACAGCCTCCAGCTGCAACCGCTTCAAGTTTCCTTCCCAAATGTATGAACCTACGTGTGCATGCATGACAGCTTGCTGCTCCTAGCAGCTTTCCTGGAGAATCCTGCGCAGGGCACAGGGCAGGGCCTTCACAGAGACAAGTTTCCCAGGGTGAGAAAAAAAGGAGTTGGGATGAAATCAAAGGGAAAAGGGCCATACCTAGCCGGCAGGTATGGCCCTTGAAAGGCCCTGACCGTTGTTGCCTTTAGGCAGTCTCACGGAGAAATCGGTGCGGTGCGGAGCGCAGCTCCGGCGGCCCCCGGCTCCCGGGACGCTGCCAGCCCGAGTTGCCGGCGCCGGGCCGGACCCGCTAAGGGCGGTCACCAGCCTGCCGAGGGGAAGAGGACGCTTGCAGTGACCTCAGGGGGCTCAGGGGTTATACTCAGAATCACTGTCCCAGGTTCACGCACGGCAGGGCTGAATGCAGAGGTGCGCAGTGCCTGCGGGTTTGTCGAGCCGGGCACCGCACTGGGCAGGGGCTGCACGGGGTTCTCTTCTCTCCCCGGGTCCCCATGCCCCTGTTCTTCGCTGCATTTCTCCCACCTCCTCCTCCAGCTCCCGAGCTCTTTACAGCCGCGCTCCTCCGCAGGCGTGCAGCAGCCGTCCTGCAGGAGGGCAGCCCCCCAGAGCGCCTCCCCGGCCCGGCCGAGGGCGGAGGGACGGGCTGCCGGCTGCCCCCCGCCCCGGTGCCCACGGGTGTCCGCCACGGCCCGTAGCTGCTTCCGCGGGGAGCCGCGCTGCGGGCCGGGGCTCCAGCTCGGGGCTGGGGGGGACGCGCGCAGCTCTAGAGGCAGCAACTAATGGCTGATTCTCAATGAAGAGAGGCGCGGAGAAGCGGTGCCAAAAAAGTAAATAATCGCGTGTAGCTCGAGAAACGCTTAGTGCGGCCAGGCAGGCTGCGTTTCATGGGCTTTTACGCTAAAAAACGTTAGAATTGGCTTTCCTCAGGCTTCAGTTAAAGAATGAATCCTAAGTTGAAACAGCTAGCTACTGCGTGTCTTTAAATCTCTTAAGTGTTAAATTTTCATTGTGTTTTTCTAACTGGAGTGGTTTTCTTGCAAGGAACTAAGTCTCCTCTTCAGTTAAAAAGAGAGAGGGAGAAAAATCTGGCACTTTCTACCGCAGTATCCACCACCCTGTCATTATTCCTGCAAGCCTGGGAATTCAGCTCAGACCTCCCAGTATTTGTTGCAGCTCGAGGCCAAGGTGCCTCTAAAAGGATTTTCTTTTAAGGCCTTTAGAAATCGTTTAATGCTGCTTTTTCTTCGTTTCACTCTTTTTCTGAAAAGGGAAAAATGTATTTCTATATGTCCCTGGCGAGAAAGTTCCGTGCGTGTATTTGCAAGCGTCCCGGACGGGGGTCGGGGGAGGGGAGTAAGGGGAGGGGGGAGTAACGCTCTTGAAAAGAAAACGAAGAAGAAAGAGGGAGAAGGCATTCCTTAATGGAAGTATTGCATGCAAAGAAGACTGGATCTCTTTAAGGCTCCCCCTGAAGCTGGAGATGCACACACAAGGGTTGCCGGCCTGGGTGGTCTCTCTACTTTGGTGAGCTGTTGCTAAGCAGCTAATAATAGTCATGTTTGCTGAGTAATTTCTGCCCTCCCCGAGCCAATCACCTCGCAGAAACCCAAGCCATCTGACAGCCCCGGGGGCGGGCTCTCAGCCCCTTTTTTTTTCCCTCCCTCTCTCGCTCTCTCTCCACTCATACTCCCCCCACCCTCCCCCCCCCTCCTCCTCCTCTTTATCCAAATGGAGAGAGTCCTTTTTTTCTTCTTCATCTCATCTCTGGAGCCGAGGGGCTGCAGCTCGGTGCTGCCGCGCACACGCCGGGGGAGAGCGCCAGGCAGCCGCCCGCCCGCCGCCGCGGCGGGGCCGACCGCGGAACCCCGCCGGCCCCGCGGCCCGCGGGAAGCACCCCGGCCCTGAAGCAGGATGGTGCAGCGCGGCGAGGCAGCCCAGCAGCAGCAGGAGCGGCCGCGGCCCGCCGCGCCGCCGCCCCGCCGCCGCCGCTGAGCGCCGCCGCGGACAGCGGCTTCCCGGAGGCAGCGGAGGCCGGCCGGACCAGGCGATTTCAACGGGAGCGGAGCACAGCGCGGCGGCGGCCGGGGGATCCCGGGGGTCGCGCCCGCCGGGCGCGGGGAGCGGCCGCCTGCAGCTCGGGGTCCGCGCGCGATGTGGCAATGGGAGGCGCGGGGAGCGACTCGGCCGGAGCGGCCGCGGCGGCAGCCGCCGCCCCGCGCCCCGCGTGAGGCGGCCGCGCCGCAGCAGCCCCAGCAGCAGCCCCAGCCCCGGCGGCGGCGGCGGCAGCAGCGGCGGCAGCAGCCCCCGCAGCAGCAGCAGCATCAGCCCGCGGCCCGCAACGCCGCCAGCCCCCCGCGGCCCCGCCGCACCCCCGGGGCCCCGGGCCCCGCCGCGGCAGCGCCAGCGGCAGCTCTCCCGTCCCGCCGGCGGCGGCAACATGGCCTCGGCCGGTAACGCGTCGGAGCTGGAGACCAGCAGCAGCGCGGGCGGCGGAGGCCACCCCGGCCGGGCGCCGAGAAACGGCGGCGGGAGGCGGCGAAGGACTGGAGGGAATCGGCGCGCCGCGGTGCCTGACCGGGAGTATCTGCAGCGACCAAGCTACTGCGATGCGGCTTTCGCCTTGGAGCAGATTTCAAAGGTGCATTCAATCTCTCACTCTTTTTTCCAGAGATACACTCTAGTGGTAGTGCTGCTTTTTCCGCGGGGGAGGAGGAGGGAGGTGGTGTGTTTTCTCGCGGGGGTGGAAGGAGGAGATGGAAACGAAACGGCCACCAATAAAATGCTGGGAAAAAGAGAGGGACGTCTGTGACTCTTCAGTGCGGGAGAGACTGCCCTCCTTCCCTCCCTGCTCGGCTGTGCCTGCCCTGGTGCGTGCTTGTGCTGCGGAGCACTTCTCCTCCTAAACTTCCCGAAACAGCCTCGGCTCGGTCCCGGCTTCCCCATGGCTAACCCCAGGCCCGTTCTCCCGCTCCTCCCCTCTTTCTCTCCGCTTCCTTTCTGCTTCTCCATCCCCTCGTAGCGCCTTGCGATCTCGGCAGCACCCGCTCCCGGCCGGAACAGGGGAGAAACCGGCCGAAACTTGGCAGAAGTTGGGCTTTTGTGAAGTTTTCCGCCGAGCGCCGAAACGGCGACTGCCCTGGGAGAACGGGGTCCCCCCAGCAGAGAAAGCACCGGTTTTCTCCCTTGCCTGGCGGTCGGAGGGGGAGCGAGGGCCGTAAACAAATTGCCACCTTAACCCTGCCGCGCCAGTCCCCGCGAAGGACTGGAGGTGCCGGACCAGGCGGGGCGGGGGGGGACAGCCCAGCCGCCAATCTCCGCCGGCCAAAAAATGTTCAAAGTAAACAATCTCCAAAAGCTGCCTTGCTTCAGGGATGGTTTCACTTCAGGGAGCGGATTTCTAGGCTTTGTAAGAAGAGGGAAAGGAGGAGGAAAAAAAAAAATCCATGTGGCTGCCCTCTTCCGTTCACAAATATTGTCGTAACTTACAGATGGCTGCTCTACTTCCTAATTCAGATCACACAGCGTCTCCAAACTCTATGGAAATGAATTACTGCAGATGTTACAGCGCTGCTCACCACGTGGGTCTTGCCTCAGCACCAAGCCCCTGCTAGGAGCTGGGAATGGGGGAAAGGGCCACTGCTACCCACTATCTGTCACACAGTCCCCCCCGCCTCTCCTCCCAGCCATGGGGTTCCAAGGAGAACAGGAAAAGGGACTGTTCTTTCTTGTGGCTGTTGAGGTTCTTCGGAAGTGGTTAATTCTTCCCTGGAGCCACGGGTCTTGCCAGTTGCGAGTGCTTTACAGCCTGAGCTGGTGGGGATGCCTCGGGCAAGAGAAGAATATGGTGGTGGCCAACACAGGGGGGCCGACGCAGTGTTGTCACCCCCAAACCCACGTGTTGGTCTGGGGCAAGGATGAATGACAACAGGTACATCTTGTCCCTGTGTGCGTGCTCGGCAAAGGGCCCTGCTGGAAGGATGCCTGACCTGTTCACGGCACTCCATCCTTCCTCCGGGGACTGCACCCCGAGGGACACGAGCTGTGTCCCGCTCCTGGGAGGGCTGGGGGGCTCCCCCCGCTTCTGGCGGCTGCCGCAGCCCGCAACTACTGACCTCTTCTTGCTTTGCAGGGGAAGGCGACGGGACGGAAAGCGCCGCTGTGGCTGCGAGCAAAGTTTCAGAGACTGTTGTTTAAACTGGGCTGTTACATACAGAAAAACTGCGGAAAGTTTTTGATTGTCGGCCTCCTGATATTTGGGGCTTTCGCTGTAGGATTAAGGGCAGCTAATCTCGAGACCAACGTGGAGGAGCTGTGGGTGGAAGGTAAGTCCGGGGGCGCCCCTGTGCTCCGTTGCCGTCCCTGCCCGCCCAGCCGGGCAGAGCCGCTCGGCAGGCCCGGAGCAGCGGCCGCGCCGGGGCAGGCGGGCACCGAGATGGGGCGCGCAGCCCCGGGCGGCGCGTACCACTGCTCCGCCCGCGGGGGGCCGCGGCGGCCGGGCCGTGCGTTCAGCGGAGGGCCGCCGGGACAGCCCGACTCCAGCACCCCGTGCCCTCGCCTCTGCTCCGGCTCGCAGTGCGGGCTCGCTGCGGGCGGCGGCTTTCCGCGTCCCCGGCGGCGGGAAGCGGCGGCGCTGCCGGCAGGCGCCCCCTCCGCCATTTTGGGAGTGCGCGCGGCCGCGGCGGGGGAGGGGCGGGCGGCGCGGCGGGGCGGGAGCCTGTGTGTGGTCCTGCGCTTGGACAGCTTTCAGCTGTGGGGAGCGCGGGGCTCAGCGCCGAAAAAAAAAAAGAAAAAGGAAAATAGGAGAGGGAGCGAACGAGGGGAAAAAAAAAAACCAACCAAAAAAACCCACAACCACGAAAGAAAGGCAGCCGAGGCGAAGCGGGGCACGGAGTGGGGCAGCCAGGCGGGCGGCACACCCAGCGCTGAGAGCCATGGCTCCAGGCTGCCGCGGTTTTGGGGTTTAAGTGTAGCTCTTGGTGGTGGTTTTTTTTTTTATTTTTTTCCTTCTCTAGCTTGTTGGTTTTTTTCCCCTCCCTTTTTTTTTTCTTTCTGGGGGGAAAATACTGTTTATTAAGGATCACATTCCCCCGTTAGTTGCTGGGTGGACGTGGAACCAGAGTTCCTTGTCTGCAGCAATTACTACTCTAGGTTTATGTCAAAGTAGCTTGGAGCAGTATTTGGCTTATAAAATTTAATATGAGAGGCTGCATAAATAATCTTTTCTAAATAGCTCTCTGTACGTGTTTGTGTGGAAAAGCTAGAACTGAGTGCAGACAAAGTCGGAGCCTGTTCTGAAGGTGGTCTCTGCTGCCCGGGGTGAATTAGAGCACAGAGGGTCGGAGTCCATCCTTGCAGATGACAGCCGGAGTGGGGTCAGGATTGGATTGGATTCGCCAGTCATTTACTAGGGGTTGTTTTTTTCCGTTGTGGAAAATAGTGATGCTTTTTTGGTCCATGTAGTGTAGTCCGGGAGCTCAAAATACGATGAGATCTGCTGCCAACAGTTCTGCCTGAGAAACAGAACAAGGCACTGCTGGGTCCCATCTGTAGGCAGAGATGTGCAGTCAGAGTTTGCACCAACTAAAGTACCTTAAGTATTAATGAAAATGACTATGAATCTTGTTTTTCTTCACTATTAATTTTTCTTCCAAACTCACTGTGAGGTTGTTGTGGAGACGTTTATTTTGCCAGTTTTTGTTCTTAGGTATTTTGTTTCTGTTTTTCTGTGTTTGATGTGATTGCAGCTCCTTCCCACATGCTCCGCTGCATTTATTATCCTGATGTTACTGGTGTTCACTTGCTTGGAATGGTGATCCTATTCAATTAGTGCCACCTGCTTTTTGTAGCTTTGTAATACCAAGAAGCTACTTGCTGTTGATGCCTCAGTAACCGGCCTGTCAGCAAAAATACAATTCTCAAGGAAAAAAAATAGGATTTGCAAAATAGTTGCTACACTTGTCTCTTCTCATGTCATTATTGTTATGGAAAAGGAGTGGGGAGAAGTCCCTAGTATAGAATCTAGTGGAAATTGGTCTCTGAGGTTTTTATGGCCAAGATGAATCCATAATACAGCTAGTTTGACAGACCTGACCTATGTAATTTCACACCTATTTAGTTTAGATTTTTCATTGAAAAGAAATTAAAACTCTGCATTTAGAAACCCTTGCATTTCAAAACTAACCAGCAAAAGCTAGTTGATTAAGATGAAATAAAATATTCTGGATTAAATTAAATTTAATTTTTAGTCTTCCCATTCTAGCACTACATGACCATTCGCAGAAAAGAGCCTGCTAAAATAGGCCTTCTTGGTAGAGGCTCTGTAAATGTTCTGCTCATGAACCAGGGTGTTGTACAATTAAGCCGAACAGATAGCAATTGCATATTTTTGTTGCTGAATTACAAATAGGAGTACAGATTGAGTGTGAGATGGAACAGAGACAGGAAAAGATAATATGGAAATTGCTGTTCTTACTATGCAGAAGTGCAAAGCAGCACCAAAGTTTTTCTTCTGCATTTACATGGAACTAGTCCTAACAGCTTTAAAGTACCATCCATGAAGGTTAGTACAGTAAAGGAGTCTTTAGATTGAGGTATCTTAATGAAGAAGCAGTGGCTGAATTGTCCTGTTTATTAAAACAGCTGTCTCACTTTACCTTTTACCTTTTGTTTACTGAGAGTTTGGATGAACTAGGCAGTGCTGGCCAAATACAGAATTGTTTAAGTTGGAAAATATTTGTAATATTATCAAATCAACTCTTAAGCCAGCACCATTGTGTTCACCACTGAACCATGCCTTTAAATGTCACATCTAAACACTTTTTAAATACCTCTAGGGATGGTAATTCAGGGGTGGCCTGTTCCAGTGCTTAACAGTCCTTTCTGTGAAGAAATTTTTTTTGCTATCTAATCTAAGCCTTTCCTGGAGCAGCTTGAGACCATTTCCTCTCATCCTGTCACTTGTTGCTTACATCTTCCATTCAGGTAGCTGTAGAGAGGGATGAGGTCATCCCAAGGCTAAATTATTCCAGCTCCCTCAACTGTTCCTCATAGGACTTCTGCTTCATTGCCTTTCTCTGGACTTGCTCTAGCACTTCAATGTGTTTCTTGTAGCGAAGGGTCCAAAACTGAACACAGAATTCAAGGTTTGGCCTCACCAGCACTGAGTACAGGGGTACAATCACTGCCCTGTCCTGCTGGCCACACTATTGCTGATACTGGGCAGGATGCCACTGGCCTTCTTGGCCACCTGGGCACAGCTGGCTCATGTTCAGCACCCCCAGGTCTGTCTCCTAGGGTAGCTTTCCAGCCACTCTTCACCAGGCCTGTAGTCCTGCATGGAGCTGTTGTGACTGAAGAGCAGGACCTGGCACTTCATATTGTAGAATATGGTATGAACCTCACACCATTGGCCTTGACCAATGTGCCTCTGCCCAGGTGCCTCTGCAGAGCTTTTCTGTCCTCCTGCAGATCAACACTCCCATCCAGCTTGGTGATATCTGGGAACTGACTGAGGGAGCATTTGAACCACTCATCCAAATGATTGATAAAGATATTAAACAGGTCTTGTCCAGTGACTGGCCACCAACTGGATGTAACTCTCTCTGAGCTCTGCCATCCAGCTGGTTTTTAACCCAGAAAAGAGTGCACCTATCCAAACCATGAGCAGCCGGTATCTCCAGGACAATGCTGTAGGAAACAGTGTTGAAGACATTATCAAAGTTCAGGTAGATAATATCCACAGCCTTTCCCTCATCCACTAAGATGTAGAAGAAGATAAGATTGGTCAAGCAGCACCTGCCTTTCCCAACCTCATTCCAGCTAGGCCTGATCCCTAGACTGTCTTGTATGTGCTGTGTAGATTCATAAGTTACTTCAAATATACTTCAAGTAACAGTTTTGATTTGCTACTGAAACTTTTTACAGTTATTACTGCTGAATAAATTGGCAGTATTTAAAGAGACAAATTTGATATGGTCTGTTTCTGAATACCATGGAACATAATACAGCACTGAAATTTGCTGGAAGTAAATGGTTGCTTTAAAGCCATAACAGAATTAATTAACAAACAGTGAAGTGAACTTTGAATTTTAAGACCATGCACATTCCAAGTTAAATGATTAGTAGTATGAGCCTGCGGGTGTTATAGTTGAAATATTTACATGAATTTAGAAGCTCACCTGGTAGGCAAACTTTCCAAGAGAGATCTTCAAAACATAATTCTTTCAGATTTCCTGTAGTAGTCTTCCTCCTTCAAAATTTATGTTAGCATTCTAAGCCTTCTCTGAGCCTTCTGATACCTAAGTGGCTTTCCTCTCAGCTTGTTTTTTGGCACTAAATGTTGTAGAGTAGCTTTTTGTTTTTTGGGGTTTCTTTTAAACATAGTCCTCTTTTGGCTGCTGTTCAGAATACTTCAGTTATTACTTTGTGTCCCACAGTGGCTCCATCTATGTTGCTTTGCCTGGGACATACATGTATATCTTTTCAGCACGTGAACAGATCTACCATCCCCATGTGCATACCTTGCTGCTGGTGGTGAGGGGAAGGGGTTTTCTGCCAGGGTAGACAAATTCTGGACTGGCATTTTAATGGCAGTTCTGTTATTCAGCTTGAGTTGAACTGCTGTATGTGGGTGTCCATGCATCCTGGAGTTGTGGAGACTGTTTAGCATCTTTATACATTGTACACACAGAGAGAAAAAAAGGCTTTGCATTGATTTCCTCAGTGACTGAACTTTGTTGGACACAGATGTGCTTTTAGAATCATCCATTCATAGCTAGAGAGTGCTCTGGATGGAAAAGAAATCATGCTCATAACTGGATATGTTTATTTGCTACCACTCTGTATAGGCAGTCTAAAACCTAGTGTGTCAACAGCAGTCACACATGTAAATTCACAGCCTCTGCTTCTGAAAGAAGGTAGTTTTGTAGCTCCAGAAAAGGTTCTGTTAAATGAAGCTTGAAATTTGGCTACTGCAATGCCTTAAATGATGTTAATTGGAGCAGATTACAATGAGGGAGATGGTCTAGTCTTGTGCTTTAGTATTTCATTTTATATCATCGTCTTGGAATTTTTTTCTTCTCACTTTTTTCACTAGCTTTCTTCCTTATGTGGTCAAAGATCATGCTGTTCTTCCATTTTTGCTTTCTTTAGTTTTTGCACTAGCTGAAGCTCAGTCAAACTGTTGCCTCTTTAAGTGCTTCTTCACAAAGCTTAGTGAAGCTTTCTGATCTTGAACTGAACTCTAACGTGTAGAGCTCCTTCTTTAAGCCAGTTTGAAGGAAGAGGGTGGAGGAAACAAATAGGTAGGACATGTTGCAGAGAA